CCATGAGCGTCATGAAGTGCCCACCATGAGCGTCATGAAGTGCCCACCATGAGCGTCATGAAGTGCCCACCATGAGCGTCATGAAGTGCCCACCATGAGCGTCATGAAGTGCCCACCATGAGCGTCATGAAGTGCCCACCATGAGCGTCATGAAGTGCCCACCATGAGCGTCATGAAGTGCCCACCATGAGCGTCATGAAGTGCCCACCATGAGCGTCATGAAGTGCCCACCATGAGCGTCAAGAAGTGCCCACCATGAGCGTCATGAAGTGCCCACCATGAGCGTCATGAAGTGCCCACCATGAGCGTCATGAAGTGCCCACCATGAGCGTCAAGAAGTGCCCACCATGAGCGTCATGAAGTGCCCACCATGAGCGTCATGAAGTGCCCACCATGAGCGTCATGAAGTGCCCACCATGAGCGTCATGAAGTGCCCACCATGAGCGTCATGAAGTGCCCACCATGAGCGTCATGAAGTGCCCACCATGAGCGTCATGAAGTGCCCACCATGAGCGTCAAGAAGTGCCCACCATGAGCGTCATGAAGTGCCCACCATGAGCGTCATGAAGTGCCCACCATGAGCGTCATGAAGTGCCCACCATGAGCGTCATGAAGTGCCCACCATGAGCGTCATGAAGTGCCCACCATGAGCGTCATGAAGTGCCCACCATGAGCGTCATGAAGTGCCCACCATGAGCGTCATGAAGTGCCCACCATGAGCGTCATGAAGTGCCCACCATGAGCGTCATGAAGTGCCCACCATGAGCGTCATGAAGTGCCCACCATGAGCGTCATGAAGTGCCCACCATGAGCGTCATGAAGTGCCCACCATGAGCGTCATGAAGTGCCCACCATGAGCGTCAAGAAGTGCCCACCATGAGCGTCATGAAGTGCCCACCATGAGCGTCATGAAGTGCCCACCATGAGCGTCATGAAGTGCCCACCATGAGCGTCATGAAGTGCCCACCATGAGCGTCATGAAGTGCCCACCATGAGCGTCATGAAGTGCCCACCATGAGCGTCATGAAGTGCCCACCATGAGCGTCATGAAGTGCCCACCATGAGCGTCATGAAGTGCCCACCATGAGCGTCATGAAGTGCCCACCATGAGCGTCATGAAGTGCCCACCATGAGCGTCATGAAGTGCCCACCATGAGCGTCATGAAGTGCCCACCATGAGCGTCATGAAGTGCCCACCATGAGCGTCATGAAGTGCCCACCATGAGCGTCAAGAAGTGCCCACCATGAGCGTCATGAAGTGCCCACCATGAGCGTCATGAAGTGCCCACCATGAGCGTCATGAAGTGCCCACCATGAGCGTCATGAAGTGCCCACCATGAGCGTCATGAAGTGCCCACCATGAGCGTCATGAAGTGCCCACCATGAGCGTCATGAAGTGCCCACCATGAGCGTCAAGAAGTGCCCACCATGAGCGTCATGAAGTGCCCACCATGAGCGTCATGAAGTGCCCACCATGAGCGTCATGAAGTGCCCACCATGAGCGTCATGAAGTGCCCACCATGAGCGTCATGAAGTGCCCACCATGAGCGTCATGAAGTGCCCACCATGAGCGTCATGAAGTGCCCACCATGAGCGTCATGAAGTGCCCACCATGAGCGTCATGAAGTGCCCACCATGAGCGTCATGAAGTGCCCACCATGAGCGTCATGAAGTGCCCACCATGAGCGTCAAGAAGTGCCCACCATGAGCGTCATGAAGTGCCCACCATGAGCGTCATGAAGTGCCCACCATGAGCGTCATGAAGTGCCCACCATGAGCGTCATGAAGTGCCCACCATGAGCGTCATGAAGTGCCCACCATGAGCGTCATGAAGTGCCCACCATGAGCGTCATGAAGTGCCCACCATGAGCGTCATGAAGTGCCCACCATGAGCGTCATGAAGTGCCCACCATGAGCGTCATGAAGTGCCCACCATGAGCGTCATGAAGTGCCCACCATGAGCGTCATGAAGTGCCCACCATGAGCGTCAAGAAGTGCCCACCATGAGCGTCATGAAGTGCCCACCATGAGCGTCATGAAGTGCCCACCATGAGCGTCATGAAGTGCCCACCATGAGCGTCATGAAGTGCCCACCATGAGCGTCATGAAGTGCCCACCATGAGCGTCAAGAAGTGCCCACCATGAGCGTCATGAAGTGCCCACCATGAGCGTCATGAAGTGCCCACCATGAGCGTCAAGAAGTGCCCACCATGAGCGTCATGAAGTGCCCACCATGAGCGTCATGAAGTGCCCACCATGAGCGTCATGAAGTGCCCACCATGAGCGTCATGAAGTGCCCACCATGAGCGTCATGAAGTGCCCACCATGAGCGTCATGAAGTGCCCACCATGAGCGTCATGAAGTGCCCACCATGACCGTCATGAAGTGCCCACCATGAGCGTCAAGAAGTGCCCACCATGAGCGTCATGAAGTGCCCACCATGAGCGTCATGAAGTGCCCACCATGAGCGTCATGAAGTGCCCACCATGAGCGTCATGAAGTGCCCACCATGAGCGTCATGAAGTGCCCACCATGAGCGTCATGAAGTGCCCACCATGAGCGTCATGAAGTGCCCACCATGAGCGTCATGAAGTGCCCACCATGAGCGTCATGAAGTGCCCACCATGAGCGTCATGAAGTGCCCACCATGAGCGTCATGAAGTGCCCACCATGAGCGTCATGAAGTGCCCACCATGAGCGTCATGAAGTGCCCACCATGAGCGTCATGAAGTGCCCACCATGAGCGTCAAGAAGTGCCCACCATGAGCGTCATGAAGTGCCCACCATGAGCGTCATGAAGTGCCCACCATGAGCGTCATGAAGTGCCCACCATGAGCGTCATGAAGTGCCCACCATGAGCGTCATGAAGTGCCCACCATGAGCGTCATGAAGTGCCCACCATGAGCGTCATGAAGTGCCCACCATGAGCGTCAAGAAGTGCCCACCATGAGCGTCATGAAGTGCCCACCATGAGCGTCATGAAGTGCCCACCATGAGCGTCATGAAGTGCCCACCATGAGCGTCATGAAGTGCCCACCATGAGCGTCATGAAGTGCCCACCATGAGCGTCATGAAGTGCCCACCATGAGCGTCATGAAGTGCCCACCATGAGCGTCATGAAGTGCCCACCATGAGCGTCATGAAGTGCCCACCATGAGCGTCATGAAGTGCCCACCATGAGCGTCATGAAGTGCCCACCATGAGCGTCAAGAAGTGCCCACCATGAGCGTCATGAAGTGCCCACCATGAGCGTCATGAAGTGCCCACCATGAGCGTCATGAAGTGCCCACCATGAGCGTCATGAAGTGCCCACCATGAGCGTCATGAAGTGCCCACCATGAGCGTCATGAAGTGCCCACCATGAGCGTCATGAAGTGCCCACCATGAGCGTCATGAAGTGCCCACCATGAGCGTCATGAAGTGCCCACCATGAGCGTCATGAAGTGCCCACCATGAGCGTCATGAAGTGCCCACCATGAGCGTCATGAAGTGCCCACCATGAGCGTCATGAAGTGCCCACCATGAGCGTCATGAAGTGCCCACCATGAGCGTCATGAAGTGCCCACCATGAGCGTCAAGAAGTGCCCACCATGAGCGTCATGAAGTGCCCACCATGAGCGTCATGAAGTGCCCACCATGAGCGTCATGAAGTGCCCACCATGAGCGTCATGAAGTGCCCACCATGAGCGTCATGAAGTGCCCACCATGAGCGTCAAGAAGTGCCCACCATGAGCGTCATGAAGTGCCCACCATGAGCGTCATGAAGTGCCCACCATGAGCGTCATGAAGTGCCCACCATGAGCGTCATGAAGTGCCCACCATGAGCGTCATGAAGTGCCCACCATGAGCGTCATGAAGTGCCCACCATGAGCGTCATGAAGTGCCCACCATGAGCGTCATGAAGTGCCCACCATGAGCGTCATGAAGTGCCCACCATGAGCGTCATGAAGTGCCCACCATGAGCGTCATGAAGTGCCCACCATGAGCGTCATGAAGTGCCCACCATGAGCGTCATGAAGTGCCCACCATGAGCGTCATGAAGTGCCCACCATGAGCGTCAAGAAGTGCCCACCATGAGCGTCATGAAGTGCCCACCATGAGCGTCATGAAGTGCCCACCATGAGCGTCATGAAGTGCCCACCATGAGCGTCATGAAGTGCCCACCATGAGCGTCATGAAGTGCCCACCATGAGCGTCATGAAGTGCCCACCATGAGCGTCATGAAGTGCCCACCATGAGCGTCATGAAGTGCCCACCATGAGCGTCATGAAGTGCCCACCATGAGCGTCATGAAGTGCCCACCATGAGCGTCATGAAGTGCCCACCATGAGCGTCATGAAGTGCCCACCATGAGCGTCATGAAGTGCCCACCATGAGCGTCATGAAGTGCCCACCATGAGCGTCAAGAAGTGCCCACCATGAGCGTCATGAAGTGCCCACCATGAGCGTCATGAAGTGCCCACCATGAGCGTCATGAAGTGCCCACCATGAGCGTCATGAAGTGCCCACCATGAGCGTCATGAAGTGCCCACCATGAGCGTCATGAAGTGCCCACCATGAGCGTCAAGAAGTGCCCACCATGAGCGTCATGAAGTGCCCACCATGAGCGTCATGAAGTGCCCACCATGAGCGTCATGAAGTGCCCACCATGAGCGTCATGAAGTGCCCACCATGAGCGTCATGAAGTGCCCACCATGAGCGTCATGAAGTGGCCACCATGAGCGTCATGAAGTGCCCAACATGAGCGTCAAGAAGTGCCCACCATGAGCGTCATGAAGTGCCCACCATGAGCGTCATGAAGTGCCCACCATGAGCGTCATGAAGTGCCCACCATGAGCGTCATGAAGTGCCCACCATGAGCGTCATGAAGTGCCCACCATGAGCGTCAAGAAGTGCCCACCATGAGCGTCATGAAGTGCCCACCATGAGCGTCATGAAGTGCCCACCATGAGCGTCATGAAGTGCCCACCATGAGCGTCATGAAGTGCCCACCATGAGCGTCATGAAGTGCCCACCATGAGCGTCATGAAGTGCCACCACTTGTAGCGGTTGGTGGCGGACTTGTTGAGCCAGCGGTGCAGCGTCACCTCCAGGATGTACCCCGTCCACCGCCCGCCCTTCTCCCGCCCCCGCATCCTCTGCCCCGTGTCCTTCCAACTGCGCGCGCGGGGGGAAAGGGAGGAGGGGGAAGGGGGGGTTGGGGAAGGGGGGGAGGGGGAGGAGTAAGAGCGCACAAGAGCAGTAATGCGCGGGGAGGCGGTGCGTGGAGGAAGCGGCGCGTGGGAACAATGGCGGGGGAACACGGGGGAGGGGACAGCGACACGTGGGAACAGCGGCGCGGGGGGACGCGGCGCGGGGGGCAGCGGCGCGGGGGAACGCGGCGCGGGGGAACGCGGCGCGGGGGACAGCGGCGCGAGGGGAATGCAGCGCCGTCGAGTGCCGCCCTCATGCGTGGTTCAGGGTCCTCGGAGCGGCAAGCACAGGGGTGCGCACGCACATTCAAAACCCGAAAGAAGCTTGGAAGGGGCTCCGAGGAATCTTCGACGTCGCGGGGGTGGGGAATCGCGCACCTGAACTCCGCGTCATGGCATTGGTACACGTATTGGTCCAGCAGCGTCCCCGTGCAGTTGCGCGCCGCCTCGCACCCGCTCTGCGGCAGCGCCGTCGCCTGCCGCTCAGGCACCGCGGGACGGAATAAGAACGCGGGACGCGTCAGAAGCGCTAGAACGTAGACGAAGGAGAGCACTATAGCGAGTACGACCATCCGACCCAAGATTCTAGCGTGGCCGCGTGGAAAGTAGCGGTTCTGCCGGGCGGCACCGGGAGACATCGTGGAGTTCGCACCGCGAGGAAGTTTACCGGGTAAAGCACCTCTTCGCCCAAGGTTGTACCCATCACCAGCCACTCCCATCGTGCTATCACTGAGTGAGTTTATCGGATCTGGTGTTGCAACCCAACCGAGCAGTTCGGCTCGGTGGCACTAGCGAGCATGGACCGTATTTCTGGGCAACGGGCAGAAACATAAACTGAAACTAGGGATTTGGAAGGAATTTGGGGAGGCATCATCTCTAAACACCGGAACTCGCCAGGTGTTTAGGGTTGTCCCTCCCCGAGATCAGTTTCTTGGGTGAGTGACTGGGTGGTGGTTTGGGTGCTGTTGCTGTTGCTGTTGGGTGAACATTCGGCAAGAGCCAAGCCGTTCGCCCAACGTGCGCCGTTTCCACCCCAACTGAAGTTCGGAGCATGTGGTCACTTCGCATCAGGGCTATTGCTAGGATTTTTGCTAGCTCGGACGATCCGGGCCCCTGTGAAAAAGACCCTGTAAAATCCGAGCCAGCGGGAAAAAAACCTTGACGAATCCGGGTTCGAGCCAGAAAAGGCCTGAAAACATGCATTACCAGAATTTCGCGGGAAACTCACAGTGGGTTGCGCGAGGGCTGGGGAGATTGGAGATGGAGTGGCTCTGGAGGGGTGAGCGAGATACTTTTTGTAGACTTAGAAAAAAATACGATGAGGAAGAGTACATCGGGAGAACAGGGCAATCAGACACTCTCTCCTTATTGGCCTTCTAAGCCATGTCGACGTAGAACGGGGCAATCAGACACATGGAGGCCAACAAGGAGAGAGTGGTTAGGAAATTCACTAAAATTGGCCCAACGTGTGTTTAGAGGGAGACCGAGAGGAATGCAAGGCAGGTCGGGGAGAACATGTCTGCTAAAATTATACGGGTCCCCTTGAGAACTCCCCGGAGAGATCCGAGCTGACTCAAAAATCACCCTTCAGTTTTACGGGCTGGTCCGGAAAAAACCTTGTGAAAATCAGGGCTCCTAGAAAAAACACCCTATAATTTCAGTCAAAACAGGGTAATTGCCCTGATAACTTAGGCCCTGCTTCGCATCTAGCCATCGTGCAAAGCTCCGTAAAAAAGGACCGTGGTGCGGGGCGGCACACCGGGGCCTTGTTCTGTGGCGCTAACTCTAACTCAGCTAACTCTGAGTTACCGTTCCGTATAGGGTTGGGTGAGTACACCGACAATTAATCATTACGCTCGTGTGAGTGTTTGAGTTGTAACTCACCTTGGTGTTCTGTGGCCTCGTAACTCAAAGTTAAGGAAGTTTCAGGGGCGTTCTAAAAAATTTCTGGTAAAGGTTTTTTTACTCAGCCCGAAGTGCCGCCCCTTCCAAAAAAAGATGTGCGAAGGGGTGACCATGAGGCAAAACAATGCAACTTCACACGGCATAGAGTGGGGACTAGTTGGAAATAACCAAATGTGAGCATTGTTAAGGTAACCCCTCTCGAGCCGTACTCAGAGTAGTGCAGCCAACTTTCACCCAAAAGCCCGAGTAAGGGAAAGCACTAACTCTGAGTAAGTTTGCCCGTGAAAGAAAATTCATACATGCTTCCTACGAAGCGTACTCTGAGTTATAACTTTGCGTACTTGGAACCCTTATTTGCTAACTCTGAGTTAGCTGGCACGGTGTGATTGTAACGTACACACGTGTGAGGGTTGAGTTGATGAAGCCACCACGAACCCAGTGAACTCTGAGTTAAGGGGCCACAGAACAAGGCCCGGGTTTCGAAGTTTCGAACCTAATCGCGAAGCCGAACGAAGAAGTGCGCAGGGGTAATGTTACAAAATTGGCAATGACTTATCCGTTGTTATGAGTTGTAATACAGGGTTGCGCGGAAAACAAGCAATGTGACTAGATGGACTGGCGATACAATGAACGGCGCAACATAATATAGCGACTACTCTAGCTAGGCAGGAACCCTGGGCTCACGAGGTTGGGTGCAGAGCGCAGGTTGGGCAAGGGAATACCGAAGGCAACGCGAGGCAGCCTCGCCTCGGAATCGTCGGCCAAACGGGCAAGTCCGAAAGTTGGGATTGTACGCGAAGTAGTCAACCCCGATAAAGGAAAACGAATCTTCTTTACACTACCCCACTTCCTCCCCCCCCCCCCCCCCCCCCCCCCGGGGTTTAGAATCCTATAAAATTGCTTAGACATGAGAAGCAGACCCAACTATAATAGGGATGGTGAACACCATCTCTTACTTAGGGCTGAAGCGACAAGAGTTGGCTAGTTTGCTTGTTTGTTTCTTGACACTGAAAATAGATCCGAATCACTCAATCGGTGTACGAGCCAGAGAGGAGCCAGGCAAGCAAATTAGAGTCAGCCGAGCATACGACGACACTCGCCAAGTTTTTAGGTTAAGGTTATATATTGATCGTAATCAAGGTACAAGGGGCAATTTCATAGAGCTATCTAGAAACATGGCCGAGATGGCCAGCATCCTCAATAGAGCATGTGGAACACATGTTATTTCTTTGTCCTACGCTCTATGTGAGAGCAATCTACAGTGGGCGGAACGGGTTCCCCAAAAGCCACGATAGTCTAAGGTCGGGGTGAATGGAGGGTGTGCCGGTCCTGTCGAAGAGGAGGAAGCGGAGTTTTTGCGCTCGCTTGATGCTGGCGGATATGCGTTGACGCTTCTTGGCAGATTGGCGTCTGCTTCTCCACATAAAAGGCGATGAGGAATTGGGCTAATACCAGCTGTAGTGTCTCGAAACTCGAGGAGGAGGAGTTGCGGTATTTGTGGTAGTAGCGATTGTTCCAAAGTGTTTTAACTGCGGCTCCCACTAGACGGCTCCATGGGGGAGATTGTCCCACCCGTGACTGCATCGGGAAGAAGATGTGTTCGGTGGAGGTGGTTTGTCTGAGGTGGCGGTTAGCGACAGTGCGGAGGTCCGAGATGACGTTTCAGGCGGAGGAGCACTCAAAGAAGATGTGCGGCAGTGTCTCGACGACGCCAGCTGGACACCGGGGGCACACCCCTCGGTCGTCAAAGTATTGGAAGTGTGATCCAGAGGGAAGGGTGAGCGTGTAGAGTCTGAAACGGATATCCCGTTGGCGGCTCGGCTGGTCTTTGAGAAATGAGTCCTTAAGGCCAGGGAGGGGAGGAGGAGGAAGGGTGAGATCGCGGGTCCATCGGTTGTGGTGAGTAAGCGGCTGCGGTGCGTAGAGGAGACGTCGGATGTCGCAGCGCGAGGCTGGGGATGCCGTCCTGTAGAAGTTCAAACCTAGCTCCTAACCCTGCCCCTGTATGAAGTGGCCCTGCGAGCCATCAGTCCCTGACGTGCACCTCTATGAGGTCCTGAAGACGGAAGAGTCCGGAAGATGCTGGGGTTTGGCGATGCGGTGGTTTGGCGATACGAGGTGGACGGTAGCCGAGACGGAGGAGGGGGGAATGAAGGCGATGACTTGGACGGCTAGGTGCGAGATGGAGTAGTGGTTGTAAAAAAGCATGAACCAGTCACCTGGGGAGGCAGAGGAGGCGTGTGGGGTTCAGAGGGCGGCCCACCAGGGACGTTTGATAGCTTTCATGAGATCAGGGAGGATGCTGGTTGCATCATCGTGGAATTCCTCTGGGAGTTGGGAGCAAAACTCTTGTGCTGAGATGGGGTTCACGCCAAGGTTGGTGACTCGGACAATGTGTCCGACACGGAGCTGCCTTGTAAGCAGGAAGCGCCAAGTGTTTAGGGTTGACCCCTACCCGAGTCTCTTCCGTTTGCCTACGGGTACGTGTACAGTATTTTTCTGTAGTGGGTGCTTGTAAGCAATTTTTTTACACTCCTTATCGTGTGCTTCAACATCGCGTACAGCAGCAGCTGTTGTTCGCCCGTTACTGCTAAGGTGGCTTCGCCAACATTCGTGCGCACTATTTCACCAAAACATGCACCGCTGGCCTGACCGTATCGGCCTACGCTTCGGGACTAGCCCGAACCTCGATGCCAGCCTAGCACTAGCTAGCTCGCACACACCGCGTTACCATTTGCATATTCGCGTGTAAGTATTAGCTCATTCCTTTGATCATACTTTGCACTCGTTTTGACACTTAGTGCAACCCTTGTTATCTTGTTCCATTGCACCAGTAACACTTGGTATTCATAGCCACTTTCTTTTCGGACCGCGCATCTCCGCACCCATCTCTGCACTCGAAGGAACCCGCGTCCCTTAGCCCCTAGGAGCCGCTGTCCTCGCGTTCTCTCGTAAACGCGTGCAGCCATGACTGTGCCTAGAGCTAAGACAAGCCGCCGCCCTTCGACATGGCTGAGCATATCGACGTCACGACCCTCACACAGGAGCGCCTGAACCAACTGATGCAGCAGGTGCACGGATATACCGAGGAAATTGCGGTGCTGACGGCAGAGCGTACGTCATTATTTTATGACGTCGCACGGGCGCAACAAGCACAGTCACAAACACAAGGCATACAAGGACAAGCAACACGCCAAGCTTCGCAGGACAGAAGTGTGGGGCAACCCTCGAGCGTGGCTAGTGATGGCATCGCCCGCAACGACCAAGACGACGACTACGGCGCGACACACCCCAGAGCGACGAATGCGTCACGATCTTGGTGCCAAACGACAAGTCGGCGCTGCCATCACCAAAGCCGCTCAAGCAGCAGCGAATGCCTTGTTTCGATCCGATCCAACGGGGTGGTATGACCGTTCAAGCGTGATTGTTCACGATGAATGTATTTTTCGACGCCAACTACGTTTCGGTGGACGCGGCCAAGATTCGATACACCGTGTCGCTGTTGTGAGGACCTGCATGGATTGGTGGCGCTTCATTGTCACGAAGCCGACGGACTAAGAGACTCTACCGTTACTGGAAAGACAAACCAGGCACTGTTGTATTTTGTGGAGGTAGCCCAGTATCGCACGTGGGACGCGTGGTGCGTAGGTCTATGCGCGAGATTCGA